TTGGAAACCTGGTGGGGATTCCGATGTCCTCTAGAAGCGCCATTTGACTGTAGTCCGGTGCCCAGGTGCCAGTTTTGCCAGTCCAAACGTCTCCTGGCATTTGAAGTCAAAATGACGTTACTAGATGGAGTGTCTGACATAAATCGTTTCTACTAATTGCAGTCTCTATTATGGAGTAGTACTTCCAGCTACTAGTTCGCTACCCTAGCGACAGCCGTCCGTTTAATAACCGAAAAGCCCTGACAGACCATCTCTCAAACGCGTAAACCGTGCTGGCTTGTATGTAGATTGACACAACCAGACACTTGAAAACAAAAACCCGACCAATTATTTCACCACACTCCAGAGCTCCGAGGGGCCGGCCTGCGATTTCCTCAGCCGCCTTTCGCACGATTTTGTTCTCATTGTACTGACTTCTTGGATTGCTTGGTCTGGCTGGTGCTCCTGTTATTCGGTTTTCTCGCAGTGGACTATCCCATATTGGAAGACGGTGCAGATCGTGCTATTATCACAGTGGCGTAGACAAACAGTTGGGACATCGAAATACCACTGCTCATACCTGCTGTGGTGTGCGCGTTGGGGTCCACGAGTGTCGTTCAGACAGAAGCTGAGTCTGATGAAAGGAGGCTATTTGATTGTGGCAAATCGACGCACGTGATGTTTCAATGCTGTTTGACGAATAAGCCTGGATATTCACCTTTCGCTACTATCATACACTGTAGGTACTGGCACTTCATTACCGCCTCGAGCATATGCTAGCTTGACGCCTCTCCTGTTCTCGTACTCGAGCTTTCTGCATCCGCTCCTCAGCCATGGCATTCCTCCAAGTGCAGTCGGATGCAAACTCGCACGTGCGACACTTGAAAGCTTCTTCTATGTCGACACCGCTTGCTTTTCGTTCTCCCTGCCACCATGCCATGTATCGTTTCAAATACTCGTCCAATGCCTGCTTGGAAACAGGAAAGTCGTGAACATCGATCTCTTCACCATCGTCACGATGAATATACTGGATCCGAAGCATCAAGCCCATTGATTTCTGCCCCTCTGGAAATGTGAGCTTTACCTCGGCTTTCACCAAGCGTAGTAATTCTCCGAGTGTTTGGTACTTCAGTAGCTGACCAGCCCCTTGTTGTGAATCACGGCTCTCCGAGTCCTGGGCCGCATGCGCACAGAAAGCAGATGCCTGGGATAATGGCGTATCCTGGAAGATCTCATCGTGGAGGCTTCCCATCTGAGCAATGAAACCGTCAGAGAGAGTATCATCAGGGTCAACCCCATAACGTCGGAATAACTTGAAAAAATCTAGCCTTCCGACCGCAATGTCGGATAGAAACCGGTGATAGAGCAGCAATTGTATTTTTGCAGGTCTCAGCAACGTCTTTGTCACAGGAGCTCGACTTCCTCTCGTCTTAACATCAATGAGATACACCTTAGGCGGCGAGAGCGCACCAGCGGGATTTCCATTGCGTGTGAAATAGTCATGCAAAGACATTTGATCAGGGGCAGGGTTGAATATTTCAGTGAGCTCGTTCTCAAACTCGGGGTTTGGATTATCGTGGGTTAGCTCGTCAATCACACCATTGACGACATTGCCCTGGACCATTCCCCAAACCTCTAACTCCCTGGTCATGCCGGTTTCACGCAAGGTTCTGAGACCTTGGATGAAGTTCCACATTCTCAATGCGAAGCCATCCTCTTTTGTAAAAACGTCAATCTGGGTGGTGGTGTGCACCTCATCCTCAAGCTTCTTGTGGATTATTGAGCCTCCTTTCATAGCAGGGGTCTTAGTCCGCCGACCGCCGGGGAGCCTGGTGAGAGTATACCAATATTGCAGTTCGCACCAGGCTCCAGCTGTAAGGTCGGTGACAGTCAATGGTCTCCTAGGATATGACCGGAATCTTCGGAGAGGAGAACGATTATCCTCAAACTCCTCTGATCCCGTATCCCGTTCATCCAGGGCCTTGGCTCCCCCGTCTCTGTCATCACCAATACCGGCCAATGCTCGACTCACTAGTCGCTTTGCAGTCAGTCAGTGTCAGTATACAGAGTCAGGAAGCTTGGAACGCACAATCGGGATAGGTGACGTCCGTGTCGAGCAACTCGCTGCGGCTTGGCCCCATGGTTGCCGAAGCTATGGACGTGCCACTGACCTCAGGGGCCGTGGAGTTGTCATGGTCGATGATGTCTGTATAACCAGGCCGTAGGTCTGTATGAGAACTCTCGTAGGGTCCAGGGCGCGGTGGGAGATGAGCAGGGCCCTTTGCCTTTGCACTTTGGCAGTCTTGTGAAGTACGCTCTAGTAGAAGCAACTCGTCCTCTGGAGAGATGTCGGAACCATAGTCGCTTTCAGTATCCAAAATGTTTGGGGCAGCCATGTCACCTTACAGAGAGGTGCATGGCGGCTTTGCGGAAGATTGGTGAGGCCGCCTAGATGTACTGGGAGACGTGAAGTGGGGTGAGTGAAGTGGAAAATGTGTCGTCAATTGCCTCGCGATAGAAACACGCTATCACGTGTACTAGTTTACAATACCTGGGTTGTTAGGGAGCCCTTCTGTTAATGGCAACTCGACTAGCCGCTAAGGCCTGAAGCCAAGTGCTGCCTTGAGCTAGGCACCAGACTCTCAGCAGGCACCTCCTCTGAGCAAATATCCAAGGTATCACTGGACCTATTAGGTTCAAATGTTATGTTCCTACTACCTCTAAGTACCTACCTAGGTACTTAGGTACTGGTCTGGCACCAACATTGGCCGGACCCTACATGAAGTGTGTAGGCTGCTCCCATCACAACATGGGACAAATTCCATCGCCTGGGGGATCTTGCCATGAACTCGGCACTCTGAATTGCCTCACAGAGGACCTGGACTGGAAAAGTGGCCAGCTTGCTGGGCTTGTGTTACCTCAACACTCAACGCACAGACTACTTAAGTACCAGGCTGATTGGCCAGCCGGCAATGCAAGCAAGGCACACACCAGTGGCCTGCTGAAAATACCTAGCTGACGCATTAAGACCAGCGGCGGATTAGTCTGGTATCAGACATGTCAGCTATTCGTGGACAATACGAACAAACAGCCTCTCGCCCAGCATTGAAGCATGATTCTGAGTGTGCAAGTTTCATGCTCAACGTTGGCATGAAGGGACATGGAGCGAAACACAGCTTGCAGGAGGTACCTGCCAAGGTAAGTACTGTAGTAGAGTATAGACTAGGTCAAACCTGGTACATACTAATAATAAGTACCAGATTTAGGTACTACCTCCAAGTTCAAACGCCTCGTCGAAACACACTGGACGGCACTTTCCAAAGTCCATGTCCATGTCCATATTGTATTGATGCCAGTATGCTTAAGCACGGAACCAACTTCACGGCAGATGACAGAGACACGGAATTCCTTTTTTCTGCTTGTCCTCAAGGCTGGACCATTTGGAGGGCACGCTGCGGCTAGTGCTGCAGGTGGGCGTCGCTGAAACCGGCAGCCTAAGCCATTGAATACGAGTCGAGTCTGCCACTGGTCTGTCCTCGTTGAGAACGTTAGAGATCATCGGCTGGCATTTCTGCCTTCAATCCTCGTTTCTGTCACGCCCTGCGCCTCTCTGATTTTATGTAGAAGAGGTGGGGGCTGGGCTGAAGCGAATCTAGTACATCTACTCTGTACTTCCAACTTGCTCGAGTGACGACCGATCTGGGAGTTTTATTAGAGGGTCCTCCAGTCGACAAGGGCGACTTTGAAGGCAGCAGCCGACTACATCTCCAACCGCTCTTCTTTCCAACCAAAAAGAAAGCAAACATGCAAACCGAGTCGATTATTTCCGGTTCTTATTCAGCGTACATTTATTAGCATGGGCGCGTCTCTGAAATCCATGTTCAATATTTCTTTCCAGCATAACCATCCGGCCACAGGGATGCCGAGCAGCGCCAAACCACCGAGTCTGGCGCCCTGCCATGAGCCCAGCAATGAAGAGAAACAGTGCGACCAAGAAGGCACACATGCCGCATCGCCGACAGAAAAACCGTCCAAAGTCTCCTTTTTGTCACTGCCAACAGAGATTCATCTGGAAATATCCAGCCATTTAATTTACCCAGACGCCCTATCCTTGAAGCATGCCAGCAGATACTTCTACAACATTATTAACACCGGCATCGAATTAAAGATTGACTGGCTCATCTCACGGCGGAAATTACACTTGGAGTGTCCCAACAATAAGGGATGCGATCTGGGAAGCGACCTGCGATTTTGCAGAGGAAGTGTAGCGTATGTTTTCTGTTCACGATATACAGCTTTATTGGCGATTTACACCCGGCGTATTAATGCATGTCGCACAGATTACTCATGAAGCGACGTCGCGAACACATTGAGTGTGACTCTCGTCCTGGAATTGGATGCATCATCTACGGTACACCTACCTGCTCACATCGCGAAAAGAGGCAGAATCGATGGAAGACTGGGCTACAGACCAAATTCACTGTCGAACTTTGGTGGATTCTGCTAGCACTGTTGTCCGTTTTCATTGCCCGGGGTTGGGTGCTTGTCTCAGCTAGCCGTTGGGATAGGAGTGATGAAGAACGACAGTATTAGCCTCTACCTTGCCCGTATTTTATGTAAACCTCGGATCAAGCGGAAACTCTGGACCATGAATATGCCACTTTATGGTCATGAGGTGGGGGGCGCTGCGAGCCAGCATAGTGTTTCTAATATTTACAGCTGCAGGTCAGCAGATTATAACTAACCTCTCATTTATTTTGGTATCAACAATTTCTCCTAGTAGAATTTTGCAGAGGCACTATTCGTTCAGTTTGCGCTGGAAGCATACTGCCAAACGCGACGCAGAAGTAGCCTTCCATATATAATATGTCGTACGGAGTACATCAACTACCATATCAGTTGACAAAGAATGTGCGCCACAGAGCGTCTTCATCGGGCTGCCTATCCGGTGGGTAAAACGATATTGTATGAAGAATGCTTCGTTGGGTCAACTGACCACGACTTCTGACAGCCGTTGGTGGATGGCAATCTGTAATATTCTCGACTCTGGTGTTACAATGCGACTAAAACTCGGCAAAATAAGAATCAGGCCAATTGCAACGCAAAAATTCCTCATTGATGGACACCGCATTGCCTATATGGGGTCTTTGGTGTATGTATGGGAGCCAGTAGTACCTATCCACGGCACTCCATCAAGCTCCTTGATTTGGTGCAACGTCGCTCCCCAAACTGCGGAAGCAGGCTTCGAGGTCCACGTCTTTTTGATCAGTTCAAGTACTATGGACTTTCCAAGAGGGCCCGGCGTCCAGAAGTTGACGAATCAATGTCCAGCCAAGTTCAAACCCTGGAGGGATTGCTTCGGAATAAAGACAAGTTCCACCTCGTGGCTCATGATATCGGCGGCCGAAATCGGTCAACGCTTCGGTATTTTCTACCCCGATCGCCTACGACATGTCCCCCTCATCGATGCCGTCAGCTTTGACAACTATCCATCTCACGGCAAACTAAGGAGCGATTGAGCAGTGGGCTAAGAGCATCTCGTCAAGACCCCCGACGAAACCCGACGACGACGCTTCCGCCAATAGCTTCTGTATGCAAAATATGCAAGCTCTGGCGGGTTCTAGGCTGGCGACTTGTGTAGATTATATTTCAAGGTCCTGTGGCACAAGGTGGCATGCTTCAGCGTCAAATTCCATAATATGGGCGGAAACTCCGAAACATGATATGAAGAAGGCGGCCCGACGTCAAGAGCTGGACATGAATACGCCGACCAGGCTAATTTTGAGCTGCGGATGATTCGTGGCAGGCCATAGACTGGACAGAAAAGTTACACAAGGCTATTCCCGGCTCAAAGCAGAGCTCACGATTCTGGATAATTGCGGATATTTGTCGCTGGAAGACCAACTGGAAGACATGTCGATGGTTTTGACTCTTGACAGGATTCTTGACCAGTCATAGGTGAGTCGCGCGGCATTGCTGGTCGGCGGTACAGGCGGAACGAGGAACTTGATGTCACGGCTTTGGCTGGCGATCATTTGAATTTGGGGAGGGGCCGGCAGCAGATATATCACAACATGCTGTTCATGGCAAAACGTGTGGAATCTGGATGGTGCGAAGAGCGACGCATTGCGTCCTCAGGCACATGACCACGAGTGACACTCAGCACTGGTCGGATCCGCTTTACTCTCTCAACACAACTCGACAACTGTGTCCCTTCCCCGGCCGGCCAGAATCCAGAATCCAGAATCCAGCCCCCGAGCGCTGCCGCCTCGATTTTTCCCATGGCTCGTATACAACGCTATCGTGCGATCCATGCAGACGCCAATCAGCGCCAACGGACATAGGCCCGAATGAGTTTAGATGCGGGTTGAGTCTGGAATGACCCTACATCGTGGGGCCACAACCGACATGGACATCTGGACCATCAGCATCAGCATCAAGTATCGGCCATCTCGACCATCTGCAATCCTACTTTAGGCAGACCTGACGCCTGAGACATGATGGAAGGCATGGAGACATGGGCCCCGCACCTCCCGTACTGTCTGTCAGCCGCGGCTTCGTCGAATGGGTTGTCGTGTTGGACCTGAGCCGACTTTGGATGGACCTGCAATACCACGAGTACCCCTCCATCAGAAGCCATATCCGGCATCGCAATATCATGCATGATGAACCTCTCGGCATTGTTGCAGTCCCTAATTCCTGCAAGACGGCTCTCTTTGTGGTTTTCGATCCAATTCCACTGCAGTGTCCCCAGCCCTAGCAAGCCCCTTGTATTAGCCCTCGTTTTCCTCTTCGCCAATTTCCTGCCCTGGATTTTGGAGGGGGAAGAGCATTTGGGCCCAGCCCGTCGAGTTGATACCAGAAAAGCAAGTTTCCGTAGTAGTCCATACTCTGTACGAGAGCCAAGGGTACAAACTTGCTGTTTTGTTTTGTCTTCGTTTATTTCATCATTTCACAAAGCGAACCTGGGGAAGTCACTCGAGAAAACAATGGCAGTATCCCAGCATGAACTGTATAAGCTATCTGCAACGCAGGCAGCTGGGCTGATACGCACGAACCAGCTTTCAGCACAGGACTATGCCAAAGCGCTGCTCGACAGAGTACGTGAACGAGACCCGCAAGTGAGAGCTTGGGCATATCTAGACGAGAATGCCATCCTGAAACAGGCAAGGAAGCTGGACGCATTACCTCCAGAGAAGAGAGGGCCGTTGCATGGTATCGCAGTCGGTATCAAGGATATTTTTCTCACCCGAGGTACCTGTCTGCTTGCGGCTCTGAACTCCTGGGGGAGAAGTTCCATGCTGACTCTAGCATGATTGCCTCCAGACATGCCAACCAAGTACTACTCGCGTCTACATGCCCAGGATGGAAACGCCGCTGCCGATTCAGCTTGCGTTAGCGTTTTACGCGCAGCTGGAGCCATCATTTTCGGCAAGACGGCGACAACAGAGTTTGCGAGCATGACAGAAGGCAGTCCATGCGCCAACCCACATAATAGTAGGCATACACCCGGCGGTTCCTCGTCGGGCTCGGCGGCTGCCGTGGCAGATTTTCAGGTACCGCTGTCAATTGGCACTCAAACGGGGGGGAGCGTCGTTCGCCCGGCGTCGTTTAACGGCGTTTATGGTTTCAAAGTACGTATACACGCCCCTCCACCCAAAGATTTCTCTTTCCTCCGCTAACACCCGGCAGCCGACTTGGGGTACCGTTTCGACCGAAGGAACCAGCATAGTCTCAGTGTCTGCAGATACACCAGGGTTCTACGCCCGAAGTGTTGACGATCTTGAGTTTCTAGCACACTTGTTCCGCTTGGACGCCCTGCTCACTGAACCCCTGCACCCACTCTCCATCATCGGTGCGAGGATCGCCTTCGTCAAGACTCACATTTGGCCGGAAGCTCAATCTGGTACCCGGGCGGCATGGAATCTAGCCCACAGATTACTGGCGGAGACCGGAGCCAAGGTTGAACATGTTGAGCTGCCTGAGCGGTTTGGGAATTGCCCCGAGTGGAGAGAAATCGTTGTTGCTGAGGAGGCAAGGGCCGCATATTTGCCCAGTGCGTCAGTCCTGTTGGTGTCGGGTCCTGTTCTGCTGGGCCTGGTGAACCTCAGCCTGCCTGTTCTGGCTGTTACGGATGCTGACAATGCTGTGCAGAATACCTTCAAGACCAGACCAAATTACACGCCGATATTGTCGCCCTCGTCGAGTCCACCAATGTGCCCAGTCGAAAGAAGCTTCTCGAGGCTCATGACGGCATCGCTCGCTTACGCAGAGAATGGGACCTGATTGCCAGCCAGTACGACATAATCATCACACCAAGCGCAATCGATGAGGCGCCAGAGGGCCTTGAGAGCACGGGTACCGCGGCATGTCTCCTTCCAGCTGGCCTTTTGTGGTTGTACAGACGCTGAGCTAACATGAACAGATTTTTTGTGAAATGTGGACTATTCTCCACGCACCGGCCATGAACGTTCCGGGCTTTTTTGGCAAGTGCGGCCTCCCCATCGGCCTCCAAGTCGTCGGTGCGCGATACAACGACATGCAAGTCTTGCAAGGCGGGAAGCTCATCGGGCAAATATTCAGCAGACCGTAGGGGGCCGTGCACTCAGAGTCGGGGAGAGATAAATAGGTTCGGGTGGCAAGATTAGAGCCTGTATTTATCAACTTTGAATATACCAGACACCACAGACATAACAGCTATATACTCCTACACCGTTCCCTTTCTCCCCCACCCTGTCGGCTCAGAGCTCATATGAAACTCAATCTTTCTGGCATTCACAATATCCTCATGTTTCAGAAGTGGCTTGTCAACCGTCTTCCCGTCCACCTTGAGACTCTTGATATAGGCTTTCCCTTGGGTACCAGCACCAGGTGCGGATATAACAAGTGTATGACCGTCTGTTCCAGACATTGAGGGCAATCGAATTTCAACTCTATCAAAGAATGGGGTCCCCACAACGTACTCATCACTCGCAGGGTTCAAAGGATAGAAACCCAAAGCCGAAAAGACATACCACGCACTCATTTGTCCCAGATCCTCATTCCCACTGAGTCCCGCAGCAGTGTTGTTGTACTCCGTCCATGCAATGTCACGTACTTTCTCCGCGGAGCTCATGGGATACCCGATGGCTGAATACAAGTACGGCACATGGTGGGAAGGCTCATTACTGTGCATATTATGGCCGCCCGAAAAGTGCTGGTCCAATTTGGCCTTCATGCCAGCTTTGCCGCCCTTGAACAATGACGCCAAACCGCCGGCGTCGTGCATGACGTCAAACGTATATACCCACTTGTCGCCTTCTGTCCAGCCCCAATCTTCCCTGGCAAAGGTCCCATTGGAGTTGCGCGTCTGCATGAATTGGGTCTCATTGTTCCAGAGCTTCATGTAGTTGCGGCTCCGGGTCATGAGTTGCTTTGCGGAGGTATGGTCCCCTGCGTATGTGGCCACCACAGCAGCAGCGAAATCGTTGAGAGAATAATCAAGAGTGCGGCTGGCTGCTTCGGCCCATCTGTCGTTGTCAACCCATCCGTGCTCGAGGTAACTCGTCAGACCAGCCCTAGCTTCATGCGGCGTTTTGGGCTCCCTGTCAAAGTACAGGAGCAAGGTGTCTCGCTCCGGCGGGATGTAGGCGTCTGCGTAGACCGCTTTCCAGGCTTTCTGGATGTCAAAATCCTTGAACCCGCGGACGAGGGCATTTGCTATGACGGCATCCGCGTTGGTAGCAATCATTATGTTTGTTTCAACCATGTTTGCCCAAATCGGCAGGCGGCCGGACCAGTCGAAGATTCGGAGGAGCGAGCGCATCATGGAATTCACGCGCTCCGGAGCAAACAGAGTGAGGAGGGCATGTTCTGCCCTGTAAGTGTCCCAGATGGACCACGACTGATAATATGAATCGTTTTCTTCGTGCACGCTGTCTGTGTAGCCGCTGTAAAAGCGCCGCTTGCTCAGACCCTCGGAATCTGTAGGCTCCGAATAGTCGTTGGGATATTGGAGGGAGTGGAATAAACCCGTGTAAAAGATTGCTCGCTGATCGTGCTCTGCATCCGTCTTGTTAACTCCCTCGATCGTGATGCGGCCTAGTTTATCCAGCCAGGCTTTCTTGGTCTGCTCCACTGTCGACTCAAAAGAATGGCTGTCGGGAATCTCAATGTCCAGATTCTTTCGCGCTTGCTCAACGCTGATGAACGATACGCCAGTTCGAACTTCAATCCTGTCGTGGGCAGTGTCAAACGTCGCATATGCGCCAACATCCTTGCCATGGAGGCTTCCGTGTCCCCTTTCCGTCTTCCCCCCTTGAGAAGTGCCGTAGGACTCAAACGGCGCTGAAAATCGGGAAACGAAGAATGCGCTAAAGTTCTTGGGATGATCGGGCCCGATGGCGTAGTCTTGTCTCTGGGTGTTACTTCCTGAAATCTCGCGCCTTTGGGGGTCGATTTCCACATGGCCAGTCCAGTTAAGGCGTGTAGCTTGTACCACTACATACGGTCGAATCTGCGACTTGGACCCCGAATTCGTTTGGAAGTCAAACCGGATGTGTCCCACGTGAGATGTGGCAGACATGGCTGCTTTGATGGAATGCTCGTATCCCCCGAGGTTTGTGTCAGACGAATTCGATGAGGATTCATCTAGGTCTCTTTCCTCAAACGCATCAGACCAATCTGTATAACCTCGCTTCCTCACCCGGCCATTCGAGCCCTCCTCTACACTCTCCGGGACGGTACCCGCGCCGCCAGGACACGGAGGACACCCATCGCCATACTCCTCATGAGCCCACTGCTCTGTCAGATTCCAGTTAAAGTCCCCTATAGAGTCAGCATCCAGTAGCACTTCATAAACATACGGCGTGCTCTTTTCATCCGATTTTCGAAACTCAAGCCCGCGTTTCTGGAACTGCGTCCGAATACTGTCCCCGGAAACTAGCAGTCCCGGAGTTATCGTCATCTGGCCTTGCTCACCCATCCAGATCGCAGGCTGATGGGTTGCCTGGAATCCATGTACTCGCCTATCAAGGTCCGAATACGGTACTTGGGAAATGTAATTCTCCCGGGTTTGAGGTGTCCATCTCGTCATGCCGAACGGGGTAGAGACGCTGGGGATCATGCCTCCATTGCTGTCGGGTATGATACCTCGCGTGCCGATGAGAGGATTGACGTATTTCAAAACGCCGGCTCCATCGTGATACGAGGCTGATTTCAGACCGGAGCCGCGGCCCAAGTTGTTTGGATTTGCTGCCACAATAGTTGAGGCGCCCAGAGCAGCTGCCGCCGATGTAAGTGCCCAGCACATGATGTTGAAAGATGTGCCTCCTGTATTAACTTACGACGTATTGAATAGGCAGTTGATGCACGAAAGACTTGTATTTTTTTGAATTGAGATGAAGATTACGGAGTAATGGCTCCGTACAACGTTTTCAGTATGTTTGTCTTACCAACCCCCTCACCCCCTCGAACGGCGATGATCGTTCTTTCCCCGCGCCCCGCGCGATAACAATGCAGCCTGACCCAGGATGAGTATAGTGCCGGGGTTTTTAAGCTCGAAGGATTATCTCTACGTGAATCAATTTCTCTCGGCTAGGCTCTCGCCGATTTTGGGATTATAGTCTCACGACTGAGGTATACATCTTATTTCGTTGGTTTTGGGCAGGCCACGAAGAATTATAGACGAGCCCAGTCACAATAGATTGATGTAAGCGACTTGGTGGAATATTCTTTACCATTCAAGGAATCGGATTGACTGCCTTGGAACACAGGGTAATCGTCGACTTCCAGTTACATGCATCAGTTCTTGGGACAAGTCCGCCCAGTAGTGTGGTATATAGCTCGCATCTCAAATTGAGATCAACGGATAGTTGTTTCTGTTCGTCCAACCATGCTGCTCAACCCCGGGGTCCTTATTTTCCCAATGCTAGAAATATATGAGATATTTCCAAGGGCTATCTATACCTGGCAGCCTCGTCAACAGCTTCCAGCTACTTTGAACTTGTATTACCATCCGTCAGTGAACCGTAACGTACGGTTCACAACTCTGTATCGGACCAAGAAAGGGGTATTCTAGTCATTACCCGTGAAACGAAACTCAGCATTAGGGAAAACGAAAAGTCTGGGGCTTTTGAAATTTATTTCTATTCTATTGAGACAAGCACAGTCATATTGTGCAGCAAACCGAAGAATCGCAAAGACACAATAGGTGGTGAGGGCAGAGTATGTCTTTGTCTGCCTCCCCCTGGCACATCCTCTATCTGTCTAATCCAATTGATTACGTGTGGCTTTTCCTGCTTCCGTCCAGAACCTTAGTTCTTCAACTGGTTCTTCATTTCGCTCTTGATTCTCGTGACAGTGCCAGCTCCACCATACACCATGCCTGTGTACACCATGGCAACGCTCGCACCAGCATTCAGGACCTTCAGAGCCTGCTCCCCGTTGGTAATTCCACCCGTAGCGAAGAGAATCTTTTGCTTATCCGAGCTCGCAGGCTGTGCATCGAGCATCTTTCGGTACCGGCCAACCAGGTCCAGTGTGCGGTCAAACATGGCTGGTCCAGAATAGCCACCCGTCTCCATCAACGCTTTCTGTTCCTTATTCTTGAGCTTGATGCCCTCGGGAACAAGGCCAGTGCGCCTCTTGGTAGTGTTTCCGACAATGATGCCGTCGACACCGCTTCTCCGCACAGCCTCGACAATGCCCTCCATCTGCGTGTCTTCGTCCTCGTCGGGCGAAACCTTGACCATAACCTTTGGCCGTGATTTTCTGCTCGTCTTCGCAGCCTCGTCCACTACGGCTGAAAGGAGTCTCGTCAAGGGCTCGGTGGCTTGGAGATCCCGCAGCCCAGGGGTATTGGGACTGCTGACGTTGACGACCACAACATCCGCATAGCGAGCCAGCCTTCGAACACAGTAGACATGGTCGTCAGCGATGGCCTTTTCGTCACGTTCGTCCGTCTCTTTGTTCTTGGCAATCTGAACAGCGAGGAGTCTGCCTGATTGTAAACTGCCCGGGGGGACGCTGGCAGCTCCATCCAATACTTCCTGCTCACTAAGACCCAGCGATCGTGCAAATCGACGAAGACGATCTCTCAGTCGTCTGGCCACGTCGTCGGCACCGCGAGAGTTCAACCCGTAGCGATTCACCATGCCGTCCGTAGCTGGGATCCTGAAGACACGGGGCTTAGGGTTGCCAGCCTGGGGAAGCGGCGTGATGCCTCCTATCTCAACGACACCGGCGCCCAAGGCGAAGAGGGCATCTGGGATCTCGCCATCCTTATCCAAACCAGCGGAAATCCCGATCGGGTTGCTCAACTGGGTGTCAAACACCGATGTACAAAGCTCCGAGGTGCGCAACGAATTCCCTCGCTCACGGGGGTGAAGGCCCAACCCATACAGCGTCTTCAATGCCGAGGTCCCGGCGTGATGTGCTTCTTCGGCGTCGGGGAACAGAGCTCGTAGTGCCGGCGGGACAAGGTATCGGTGGACGAATGCTCTTGTATCAGTCGTGTAGAGATATCCAACGTACAGGGTGGCCGCCAGAGCTCCCCCGTACAGGATGGCTTTTGCGCGACCAGCTTGCACGGAACCGTTGGCCGAGGACGAGGCCTGCCGCCGTGATCCGGGTATGGAAGTGCGGGAGGTTTCGGCGTGGACGCGGGAGGCTGGCGAGGAGCGGATGCCTCTGGCGGCTAGACGTGATCGAATAGCTGATGAGGACATGGTTATAAGGCTCGAGGCCGTGAGAGCCTCTCAATTGACGTCGGGGGTTGCACTTATTGGCGGGCGATGGTCTGGTGGTTTCAATGTTCGTGTTTCGGTGCGCCGGGAATTTGTCGGGTGTGTCTGGTGTGTGTATGTACGTGTGATGGCGCTAGGATGGACAGTGCATTGTCCCGTTAGGTGTCAGTTGGTTAGTCGGTGGATCTCGTAGGCCAAGCATAGTGCCGGTCACTGCAAATCAAGCTGGGAACATTCAAACATATTTCGGTCTTTCAGGCTCGCGTGTTGCAGACATTGTTGTCGAGTCCATTGGTATAATAACCATTCTCTGTTCTCTTAAAAGAGGATGGTAATATAAGAAAATAGTACCTATGCAGATCAATAAGGTTGCAAGCCAGGAGACTATGCCTATTCGGCAACTCGTCACTGTCGCATATGCGCCCTCCGAAGAACGCATTGACTCACGCCCTAATAGTGACTATTACAGAATGATCAACAAGGAACAAAAGGATGTCATGATCGTGTATTAATTTTTTCTTCTTATTTTTCAACCTATCCCAACATTCGCGCCAGCACTGCATCGGGTAGGGCGCAATTGACAAACACCGTGTGCCTGGCCGTACCCAAACCAGAGAATCGTGCCATACTGAAGGAAGCACCGTAACAGCCGTGTATAATACGGCCACTGCGTCGGCGAGCACCTCAACTTACGGAGTACATACCGAAACATTACCATCGTTCCTATTCCATCAATCATCTGAAAACATATGCAATAGTATCTACAACCAAAACCCTAGTTACTGGAGCCATCGCCCAGTATGAGTAGGCAAGCATTCAAGTCTATCTCACTCATCATGTCGCCCTTCCACTGTGGCACCCGAGCAATCGGTCCTGGAGCAGGGCCACTGTTCCTCCAGAGTCGAGGCCTCATTCCAGCCCTCAAAGAATTCGGCCTCCCCGTCCACGAAGTCCAAATCGAGCCTGTGGACGAATTAGATGGCGAGCTCGCAAAATGCTTCGAAATTATCCGCCGAACATCAAGGCTCGTTTCTCAAGCTCGTGGGAATGGATCGTTCCCCATTGTATTATCCGGCAATTGCAGCGGTGCAGTGGGCGTCGCGGCAGGACTAAGTTCTAGTGGCATTGCTGGAGGGGATCTGGGATGTGTATGGTTTGATGCCCACGACGACTTTCACACACCAGATACTATTGCCAGTGGCTATGGAGACTCCATGCCAATTGCAATCCTGGCAGGGTTGTGCTACAACCAAATGCTGCAATCAGTCCCGGGCCATCAGCCGCTGAATTTGAATCACCTGGTACATGTGGGTATGCGAGATGTTACCGAGGAGGAGAAGCAGAGGGTTCTTGATGCTGGGTTTGACATTATTTGGGGAAACGCTGAGCAGAAAATGGATTTTGGCAGTGGGTTGCGCACAGTGTTGGAGAAGAAATCGCTGACAGACACAATGGTCCATGTGGATTTAGACTCGCTGGATGCGTCGATAGGCATGGCAAATAAGATGGCCACCTATGGTGGTTTGCTGGAAGCTGACTTGATTGAGTGTCTGGAGGAAGTGGTGAGGCATACACATCCGGTTTCGTTGACGTTGGCTTCATTTGATCCGGGCTATGAGCGGGCGGACAAAATTGCGCATGTTGGAATTGTCGGTGTTAAGACGTTTTTGAGGGCACTACTGGGATCCAGTTGAGGAGATGTAACAGTTCATCGATGCTGATGTCACGACTCTCGGGCGAGATGGACAAGAAAATGTGCGTAAGCTGACGTCGTTGGTTTTTGGTACTGGCCAGGGCTAGACATTGCTTCCTGGGGGTATCAGGGTTAATGGCGCAAGACACAACTGGTTGGGTTTACTTTTGCACGAGTGCAACACAAGCACGGGCAGTTTGTGCGACGAAAAGTGAATTGTACAACATGCTGCAGTGTAATGTTGCAGATGCAAAAAGATCGAAATTGTAACTACTCGGCTCTCTGAGCACTCGAGTCAAAGGGAGACGGCTCCAACACGTGAACTGCACGAGCAGCCAGTCGGGTTCCATATTGACGACAGACTCTGGAATCGGCTGGGCCCCAGTGCCAGTGAACCGACACGTACCTGGAGTCCTGGACAGGTACGTATACTGCATGTAGATAGAAGGCAGGAAGGATGCAGCACTGGAGCGCGACTTCCACCAGACACTGTCACCGTTCGGCTCCTCCATATCCCATTCATCAACCATTGCTGGCTCGCTATTGTCGAAATCGGTGGCAATAGTCTCTCGCCGGCTCAGGCTCCGTCCCGGCATCCAATGAAACCATATCGTGACCGAGTTGTGGACTTGAGCGTGCACGTATGGACCTCAAAACTCCCGGGCCGGATGAAACAGCCGACACAAGCATGTTCAGCCAGTATACGCTAGGCGTGCCATCTGGCGGGCCGCATCGCGGTGTCAAGGCGAGCCACAAAAAGTCGAGATATGGCTGTAAGAGGTGTCGGACAAGACGGGTCAAGGTAAGTTTTGTCATTCAGCTTTCCCCATCAATCAATCAATAAGTCAACTGGTCTCAAGTGCTATCCCTTTCTCATGCGGCATGACATGCCTGATATCAAAAAAGATACACACCATGCTGCTTGGCTGGCTGCCCGTCAATGGTCATTCACCACAAGCTGACCGCGTCCTCTCTCCGTTAGTGCAATGAACAGAAACCAGTTTGTGGCAACTGCAAGCGGCATCGGTCAGAGTGCATTTATGATCGTGTGCCGCCCCTGACCACGCCTGTGATTTCATCTGCTCCATTTCGTCCCGAATCTGCAGAGGCTCGCGTTGCTGCCGCCATTGCCCGCAATATCGAGAACTCACATCTCTCTGATCCCCCAGAGTCACGAGAGCGACGCATTCTGGAAACGAGGTTAATGTATCAATATGCAACATCAACCGGCACCACCATTGCCATTGATGACAAGTCCAAGGGGCTGTATGTGAACATGGTTCCAAGGCTGGCCCTGACCTCGGATGCATTGTTGTATTGCATGTACTCACTTGCAGCTTTGCATTGCAAGGTTGTTGGCGATCTGATGGGGCTCGTCAGTCGCGATGCTCATCGAAAGTATCTCTCCATGGGCTTGCGAGAGCATAATCTAGCCATTGCAAACATAAGCCCTGAGACTGCAGACGCAATATGCTTGACCTCGACTCTCCTTCGAGTCTGCTCCTTCATTTTGCTACAGGACCGGTTGCGCCAGCCATATACCCCGCCAGTGGAGTGGTTAATGATGAACGCGAGCACCAAGGCCATTGTCGGCACAGCATATGAACTTCCCGGCGGAAAAGAAAAGTCTGTTGCCGCAATGATGGTTGGGCTCTCCCCTCTCGTATCCAACGAGCAAATGCGATTTGACCCAGTTCAGAGACGGGGCTTAGAACCATTACTCCAGCGGGACGAGATTCGGGATGCCAGTGAGCCTTGGGATCCTGAATCCCGAGATGCATATGAATCTACATTGAGCTACCTGGGCGGGGCGATTGAAACAGAACGAGTTGGGGATAGACATGACGGCCTCCGGAGGCTCATTATATTTCCCATGTTGGTAAAAGGGAGGTTTATAGAACTGGTTCAAGAGGGGCAACCTCGGGCGACTATTTTTCTGGCGTATTATTTTGCTCTTTTGGCTTTACACAAGGACAGATGGTGGATTGGAGAAGCAGGGGCTCATGAAGTACGAGCAATGGCGGCCCATTTCACTGACCATTGGCGAACGTTGCTGAACTGGCCGTTGAGAGTTGTTGAAACAGGCGAAGTCCCTGCATTTGGCTGAGACGACCAGTGATATTCCTACTACTCCATACTGAACCCAGGGTTTCCTGCGGGCCGAGCACTTCGTTTTCAGTTTGCACAAAGTTGTCCAAACGTTGTTAGCGGGGCGAAGGGTTGTCGATGACTTACAGATTGCTGTTGGCTAAAGGCTGCTCATGGCGATGATGGCTTTGGTTATCTGTCTCGTACTATGACGACAGCCTTCTATCCACATGGTACGATAAGATGAGAACCACAGCTATTTCAAGTGGGCAATTTGCGAAGAACTTTTGTGTCAGAATAAGGTGATTCGACAGCCTGTCGGACACGATCCGTCATGAAGGTTATCACTATTGGTCTTGTGACCTGATGACAACAAGGATTACTTTTCATGCATCATCATCACACACGTTCAGGGGCTCATATCTAGACAGTCATGAATTCTACACACGCAAGGAGTTTGTGTCCAAGATCATGCCGTGTAGATGCATGGCGGGACGGCGGAGACACTTGTGCAGCCCTGAGCCTCAAGAGCTAAGCTGCGATTCTCCCGATTGGTACGATCGAGACTCGCGAGATATGTCTGCGTCGTTCCTGTCGGGCGTTGTTCCACTTGCCAGGGATGGGGTGGGGATCTTGGGATGAAGAATGACCTCGTGATCTGCGGAAGCTCGTCACGAGGCAGCAGGAACTGCAGCCCAAGACGTGGCAGTGAAATCAGCAAATAAAGGATTGCTGATAATAAATCACTCATAGAGATGAAATTGACGAATTGCATAGTTGGTGATGATGTTATTACATGTTGTCACCTTTGGAATTACGCCCACTCAACTTTCAAATATATAAGTCTGTTGTCTCTCCTTTGCGAACCGAGTTGGTGTAACCAAAAACAGCAGTGGAACAAGACACATTTACCATCTTTAAAAGAAATATCAAAAGCGTCTTCTTTCCTTCTCATTTCTACTTCATCATGACTTTTGGCAATGTCCTCCCACCACCAAAATTCGACCTCACCCCCGAGGAAATGTTTGCCAAAGCAGCCTACATTCTAGAACTGGCCAAGGACGGAATATACGACATCACCTCTTCAGTCGAGCCCGAGGAGGCAACTTATGAAAACGTCATTATCCCCATTGGCCATGTCGAGAACCAACTAAGCTACGAAATAGAGCCTCTATCTATTCTTGAATCCGTATCCCCCTCGGCGGAGATCAGAGCGGCCGCTTCGAAGGCAGTCAAGACGGCGCAAGAAGCATGGGAGGTCATCTACGACAATGAAGAGCTGTTCCTCTTGATCGATGCCGTCAAGCACCAGCGCCCCGCGAACCTGGACGAGGAATCGGGCCGGTTCCTGGCGGACCTGCACAGCGAGTGTGTCGAAAAGGGCCTCAACTTGCCAGCGGCGGAGGCGGAGCGCTATTCGGAAATCAGGCACCGCAAGTACGAGCTGCACTCTGCGTTTGTGGCGAATCTAGCTACCGACCCGGGCGTCGTTTTGAAATCCGACGCTGAACTGGAAGGCTTGTCGAAGAGTAAGCTTGAGAGTTTTCAGGTGGACGAGCAGGGCAGACGGAGGATTCCTCTTCACAGGACGAACGCTGATGCCATCATGCGGCAGTGTACCAATGAACAGACTCGGAGGGATGTCTGGGCCGCCAAGGAGTCTATATATCCGGAGAACGCAACGTACTTCCGGGAAGCGGTTCTCCTGCGGGACGAAGCAGCTCGTTTGCTGGGGTTTTCTTCGTACAACCATCAGCTTGTGCGTCGTCGAATGATGAAGTCGCCCAAGGCAGTTATGAATCTCCTGAGGGCCATGGAGACGAAGCTGAAACCATTGGTGAAGATGGAAATGGATGCTTTGAGGGAGTTGCGTGGCGATGGTGAGCCAATTCACTTCTGGGACCTTGCCTACTACGATTCGCAGACGTTGAAAGGCAGGAATGTGAATAGTGACGTTGTGGCGGAGTATTTCCCCGCAGACTTTGTGTTGGGCAGGATGCTGGGCATGTTTGAAAAGCTATTCCAGTTGGAGATTTCCGAGGTTGCAGACATAAAGGATGACGAGGTGTGGCATCCAGATGTAAAGGTTTACAAAGTGAGCGAGTTGGGAGGTCTGTTTGTGGGATATTTGTACATGGATCTGTATCCGAGGGAGGGCAAGTATAACAGCTCTGCCGACTTCAACATCCGGCCGGTACGTGTTGACCTTGCAGCAAGTCGCTGTATTATTCTAAAACATGTTGCAGAGTTATATCGACCGAGAGGGAAGATACATGCCGAGTGCCACGGCGCTGATCTGCAATGTGACGCCTCCCACGAAATATGCTCCTGCGTTGCTGCACCATTCCGACGTCATAACTATATTTCATGAGCTGGGACACGGTACGTGATGCCTGTTTTTTTTTTTCTTGTCAGATGAACGGAAAAACTAAAGCAAGAAGGCAGGAATGCACGATTTGATGGGCCGCACCAGATACGCCAAGTACCACGGGTGGCGTGGCAGAAGAGACTTTTGTGAAGCGCCGAGCCAACTTCTAGAATTCTTCTGCTGGCTCCCCCAGACCCTGAAGCTGATGAGTTGTCACTACTCGTATCTGTCGGAGGAATACAAACAGCAATGGGAACGGATGAATCCCGCCGCGGCCAAGCAGCCGGAAAAGCAGATCCCGGACGAGATGTTGTCAGCGTTGATTGCGGCCAAGAATGTCAACAGTGCGATATGGACCGCGAGACAGGTAGGACTGAGTATTTTTGATATGAAGGTTCATAATCCATCTTCTCATGAGGAACTGGAGGGCCTGGGCATTGCCAAGGAATACTATACGTCCATCACAGAGGCCACCGGGCTGCAGGGACCAGAGGATGAAGCGATGTTGGGTAACGGGTATTCTACCACTGCTCATTTCATGTGGG